GACCATTAGAGGTGCTGTTCGCACATTGAAATATCCCAATATGTCCGTTCTACTATGTCTGGCTCCCCCAGTGGATTTTATAATTTTTGGAAAGTTTAAAAAATTTAATCCCATAAGTTAAATAACTTATATTTTACTCACATTTTTACACGTATGAGCAACACATACTTTTCCAAATGCATCGCTAGTACTCTTGTATCCAGCCTCTTTGTAGGCTTTATCGCATTCACACTTATTTGTCTTTTCATCGCAGGCATTTTTAAGGCCACCACAAGGCTTCACTTTACCGTTAACCAATGTATTAGTTAATTGGGTTAGCCCTGGAGTTTTACCTGAAGGAAATTTATTTTTTGATTTTTCTTAGCAAAAATTTTGGTAAAATTGAACTAAGCATACCACCCAAATATTTTATCATTCTTTAATAAATTTTACATAATGTCTTCTCTATGCAGCGGCATTGGCATTTTCTAGTAGGGCCTCCGCATGTTCCACCATCCCCACACTCCTTATCTTCAGAGCAAGGTAGTGCTGGTTTGCACTTCTAATTTATTCAAAAATTTTGTTCATTAAAAAATAATCTAAAACAGGCTTAGTAATGGATGCGGACATGTCTACAGATAAGTTCAAAATGCCTGCGGATATCTGTCTGTATCCGCCGTAAATATCCGGATACGGATACCAAAATCCATGTCCATTACCAAGTCTGATAATTTAAAAAATAATTATCATTTACCGTCGCATTTTCATCATCTCGCAAAAAGCTCTCTTCAATCCTTCGCGGAGCCCCAACATTACCATCAAACATCTCTGCCTCTAAAAATAGAGGCATACTAATAAATACCCATAAGGAGATGATGGAAATTATAGAATAATTTTGGGACATTTTTTGGGGGTTTAAAGGTCTTTGAAAAATTTATTTTAATTTTAAAAATATTTTCTGGATTTATATAGGTCTTAGAAGGCCATGGAAACGCTTATTATTAATATTTTTATTAAACTTTATTTGTCAACCTTGCAAAGTTTAAAGTATTAAATTTAAGCATTTTTGTATATTACTCAGTTAATTCCTTCAATTTAGTCACATTTTTAAGCAAATTTTTAAAAATAATTTTAGTTTAACATTTAAAGTTTCATGCTAATAAATATTAAATTTAATGTTTATTTGACCTTTAGTGAATCATTTAAATTTTTGAAAAGTTTTTTGAAAAATTTTTTTGGAAAATTAATATCAGCTTCAATTTTTATTAAAGTTCATTTTAAACGGATTAAAATAAAAAAAGAAAATATTAAAAAAGTAAGTATAATTCGGACTATCAGTAATCGCATCGAAATTAATTAAGGGAGTCGTAAAGGACTTGTTTGTGGACCTGTTACACGAACAGAAGAATTTAACATAGGTAAAAGAGAATTCTATTTTGAATTGTTAAAAAATTGATAGTGTTGTTGATAGTCTTCAGTTACGTTACACTACGCCGTCTACTTCATGGCCTTAGGAATAAATGTAAAAATGATAATTTTTTCAAATTAAAATAATAAATTAATAAAAATAATGTTTAATTGTTTAAAAAAAATAAAAAGGTCGATTTTTAGTCCCTTCTAAAATTCTTTATTACACATTTTTGTTGATCAAAGAAAGGAGATAAGAACATCTTTCTGAACAAAAAAAGCAACTTTTCTCTTACCAGCCGCTTTATTTTTAAACCATCTTTATTCTTTTAAGTTAGGTTGGACGACCTTTGGTTGAATATATTTTAGTGTTTATAATGCTAATTCATTTTGCTTTCTCCTATTTTTTTAAAAATTTCTTCCAATTTTTAAAATAAATTTTTCTTTAATCTAATTTATTTTTTGGCTTATTAATAGGGTTGAGCGGTATCGGCGGATGATATAGCGGTATCGAGATCTCAATCGGGCGGGATCCCGGGAGGGATTATCTCGGTCTTTTTGAATCCCTCTCCCAATAGTAGTTACCCTCCCCGGACCGTATCAAAGGGAAATGCCGGGTTAACTACTCCCAATTTACGTCGGAATCCCGATTCCTCTCAACTGTACTTAACAAGATGAGTTACACGAAGAACGGAACAATTAAGCCAAATTCTATTAAACTTAGACTGTGCAATAGTTGGATTCTTAAAGGGTATTGTCCGCGTGGATTTGCTTGCATGTATGCACACGGGATGGATGAGCTACATGATGGGTAAAAGAAAATTTTTGCTTGGAAAGTTAAGAATATTTGGAAAAATATTTTTCGCTCATTTCTTCGTTCAAGTCAGTGTAGAAAAAAGTACCCTTTAGCCTTCAGAGGTTGTATCCTTGAAAAGAGAGATATAACGAAAAAATTAAAATAAACTAATGTTTTTAAATTATGTAAGTCTGTGCACTACATGGCTTCATAAAGGATACTGCCCGCGTGGTTTTGCTTGTAAGTTTGCACATGGGATAGAGGAACTTCTAGACGGGTAAAAGATAATTTTGTTTTAAATATTTAAAAATATCTGGACCTTAATTGAATAGGGTCTTACAAGGAGAATGGGAGATATTTATAGGGAGCATGGGAGAAGTCAGATTCCGTTTAATGTAAAATAATTTTATAATCGAGTGTTTCCTTTCTCGTTTTAAACTTGTAGACCTTTAGTTTTTTCTTGAATTTTAATAAAAATTTGTAAAAAATTTCCAGTGATCGTGATGACACTAGCAAGCTAAATGTTATTTGCAAACATTGGTTTATTAATAGAGAGTGCCGAAAGGGGGATGCTTGTCGTTTTATGCATCCACCTCTTAAAAAAATGAAGAAAAATGATGAGAATTTGGATAGAGATTGTGAGTGTGCTGCAAATGTTGAGGAAAACTCTTCTGTCCGAGGAGGGAAAAAGGTAGCTACCGTATTTCCTAAAATAAAGCCCCAGGGGTTCATATTTCAGTTATCCTCCAAAGTGGGGCTTTATTTTAGGGTGGGGCTCTAATTTAGCATGGGGCGGATTAATGGATTTTTGGCTCTATGGATTAAGGGCAGTCCTAATTTTTCAAGTCAACTCAGAATCTTTTTTAGGGTATTTTTCCACCTGATCTGCCGACATCTAAAAAGACTACCGGTAAAATCAACATTAATTGTTTTCTTAAAACTCCAATAGTGCCACAACATATATTGGATAAATATGCAAGTTCCGGGTTATTCCAAAGTCGAGGGGATCGAAACGAGAGTGGGTCATCATCATCTACAAACGGTGAACGATTATATGCGAAGAGAGGTTTCTGAACAATTTTTTGCCTTTAATTTTAAATTTAAGGCAATAAAGTCCAAGAGCGTTATGACAGTGATGAAGATGAAGATGAAGATGAAGAGGAAGAATTGTTTTTCTTGGACAATATGAAAGGAGATAGATATATGGAATGATGAGAGATATGGACTGAGCTTATTAAAAAATGTAACGCATTTTTAATTTATTTTTTTCTTAAGGCTTTAATTTATTTGTTAAAAAATTTAAAATTTTTTATTTACTTTTAAAAAAAACATTAACTTAATAAAAAATTATTAAGCAAAGGTCCATTTCCAAGTGTCACACTACACCGTAAACAGTATTACTTTAATACCCAGATAATTTACAAAATTTGTTTGGTGACTAACCCAAAGATAAATTATATAGCTGCTCAACTAGGGTTTCAGTGGAAGTTCCGGTTCCGGAAAGTTCCGAAGTTATTTTGGTTCCGAAAACCGGAACTCAAATTGGATCCGGTTCCGGCTCTAGTCAAAATTTCAGTTCCGTTGGAACCCTACTCTCAATTAATGCTGATAATAATACAGAAATTTTAAGCAAAAATCCATCGCTAGCTTTAAGCAACTGTTTCATTAAAGAATCAAATTTCAAAAAATTATTTTTATTGCTCAATTAAATAGATAAATAAAAGAGAGGTCATTGAATTTGTCTCATAATTTTCAAAATTCCAATCATTCTCGAACCACATTCTTCTGACAATTCTGGCAGAGAGAGATCCGTTCCATCCTTTTTACACTAATTTTTAAAGATCAATTTAAATTATAATAAAATGTATTAATTAAAGTTTTTAGAGTTTTATTGTTTTCCGAAAATAGGTAAATTGTTTGCCGATATTACTTTTTTATAAAGTACAGTTTGCTTAAGTTTTTTGGATTTTTTTCCAAAATTATTAAAAAATTATTCCATTTCCGGACAACATTTTTCGCTCTAAAATAATCACCCCTTTTCCTATTTGCACACCTTGAACATATCCTTTGTGTCAGTTGAATTAACAACTCCATGCCCAACAAATGCATTGCTGATTGATTCTCATCGTAAAATTCTCTTAGACCTGCACCACTCAAACTTTTGAGGATATAATTCTTCAAAAATAATTTTTTCTGAGATTTTTTGACAAAAAACCTTCAACTTATCCAAATGATAAGCATCTGCATAAATTAGTCTTTCCATTAGAGGCATCTCAACACAATGGATTAAATGAGCCTCACATTTTTTTCGAAGAAAATCGACTTGGAATCGGTTTGCAAGTTTGAGGAGTTGATAGACGTTGTTGGCTATAATTATTGAAAATTAAATAGCCTTATTAAGTCTTATCAATTGCCCTTCCTGAAATAATTACCTTAATTACCCACCCCAGTGAGAGGTCGAAATAATAATTGCCTTCCTCAAATGCCTCCCTCAATCAAATGATTTGAGCATTACCTCAAATTAGAGGAGGTAATGCTCAATGCTTTAATGCCCAGATGCCCCTCTCCCTCAAATGCCACTCAATGCCTCCCTTGAATGCCCCTCTAATGCCTCCCTCAAATGCCCCTCTAATGCCACTCTAAAGACTCCCTCAAATGAACCTCTAATTCCTCCCTCAAATGAACCTCTAATTCCTCCCTCTAGCATAATTAGCCAGGGGAATTGTCCAAAAACTATAATGATTATAATTAATTATAGTTTAAATTACAATTAATTCAGGTATTATACTCCTAAAAATTACCTATTTCCATCCTTTCCTTAAAATATGCTCCTTCTAGAAAAATAAGTACGCTTACGATTTGGATGTACTTGCTTGGGTGAAATAGCTTCCAAAAATTGTTTCATTGCTTCAGGACTCGCTTCATCCACCAAAACCTCTTTTTGTTGATGTTCTTCTTTCTTATGTTCCCCTTCCTGCTCGTCCTGTTCATTGTTTTTAAACATTTTTTGAAAGACAGGAGAGAGGGACATTAAATAGTGCTTTGAAACTGTGAAGGAATCGGTGCCAACTGTAAGATTAATGCACTCTGATTCATCAACGGGGATATTTCCGAAGCTTGAAGTTAAAGGGGAGAAAATTTTTAAAGGAAAAATCTCAAATTTATTCCAACTTTTCCAAACGTTGGCGACGTTCTAGCAAGCGTATCAGAACGTAAAAATGCCCGTCTGAAGGGCAATTGCTACTGTAATTATTGCCAGTATTGGGCTGGAATTGAACATAACTGTCGGGCTGTTGGAAGCATTTGGCCCCTCTCTAGAAAATTTTTAGAAATTTTTGAAAATCTTTGCGTCTGTTTTTACTTGTAAAATCTGAATTTGTTTCCCTCTGTGCCACTGCCAAAAGCAAACTTCGGCATCTACAGAAACACAATGCCAATCTAGCTCTAATAGTGTCAGTCTAAGTATGTGCTGATTATTCTTAGTTATAACGGAGAATTCCCTTAATTAAATGATTATAATTATAGTAAACATTCCAAAATTATAATAGAGGATCAGGAATTATAATCTTCCTAGGGTTGGGGTTTTTTCGAGTCATGTTTTCTGGCCAAAATTCGATGCCCGACTCGATCTTTCGGTCGAACCGGGCCGGGCTCCCAACCCTATTCCCGACAGAATGTACAGTACTATCAGTTCATTTACCCGTATTTTACTTACTCTTATTATTTCTTGTAAATTAGAATCCAAACTGAATACTGAGGATCTTCGGTTAGGAGTTGGTTACTAGAAAGATTTTTATTGGATAACCAAATAAGTCCATAAGACCCTCAGACTCTACAGTAAATAAAATTTATAAAAAAAATAAGGAAAAGCAAGAGAAATGCTTGGAGATAATTGGAGGGTATCGAATGTCCGGAATTATAAAATAATTCAATTTAGAATTCCAGATCCCTGGTCAGTTTATAAACTTGGTTATCTCTTTATTACTAAAATAATTTCATAATTTCCGGAAAAGTCTACCATTCCTTCCCATCAATCCAAGCACGAGTTGCACTAAAATTAGTCCCACTTGAATAATTGTTATAAGAACTTTGTTGTTGTTGGTGCAAAGTGACAACATTTACAGACAGAAATTGTTCACAAGATATGTTGTATTCATCGTAAATCGACTCCTGTTCGACTATAGAGTTGCGCGGTTGGCGAGATTTGTAGGACGAGTTTGTAGTGGAAATTGACGATGTCGAGCCGGTTCGGGTGCTTCCAGCTGGAATAATTTTGATAAAAATAGGTCTAATTTTGGCTTAATTGTAGGACAGTTTTTTAAAATTTGTACAGTCTATACTTCATTTGGAGAGAAATTCCTGGCATTTAAGAAATTCTAGGAGTCTTCTCTCCGGATTAAACTTTTGGGAAAAATTCTTAGCAGTTTAGATCCAGGTTTAAGCTTGAAAATAAGGTAGCTAAAGATAAGCTTTTAGAAATGGCACTCTATGATTTTTTCAAAAAATTACTTGATGGCAGAGAACTAACTGGTGTCATACGAGAAAAAATAATTTAAACCGTTTATAAAAAATAATAGATAGTTAAATTAAGTATAAGAATGAAAAAAAGAGATAATGGAATGATAATTATAAAAACTAAATGATAAAAACCTTACTAGAAATTTGCTGAATTTTACTTCAGTCAGCCGATCAAAATCAATATTAAATTGAGTTGATTTTATTTAAAATAATGGTTTGAAACTAACGATTCATCTGGCAGTATACAATGAAAGACGGTGTAAAGATTTATAAGAGAGAAAAGAAAAGGAATAAAGCGATCTGGTACTTAATTTAGGAAGGATGTCCAGCTAGAAAGGCCTGCCAAAGAACTGTAAAGCAAGGATTGTCCAGCAGGTCCCTCGATTCATTTCAGCTGGTATAGCTTGCTATATCGGAACGGGCTTGTTGAGACCGGCCGGTTGAGCCCCGCCAGTTGAGACCGGGCGGTTGAGACCGAGGACAGTTGAGCGCGGGCCGGTTGAGACCGGGCCAGTTGAGCGCGGCCAGTTGAGCGCCCCTTGTTAACTGGCCAGTTGAGCGCCAGTATATTTTTACACTGATAAACCTCTGGCAAACTGTTTACTCATGTTTGGAACACCTTGATTCATGTTCGGAACATAAGTCAAAATGAAACAACACATTCCCCCGTTCGAGAAACAAGTGAATTTGGTCCGAATATTGGAGAAGTTGTTCTCGCTTTAGTATAGGTCCACCGGGATCGGAACTCAGACTATATACCATTCGATTCGTCTGTATACCAACATTCCCCGTCATTTGAACAACTTCCCCCGTCCTTGGAACAACATCCCCCGTCCTTGGAACAACATCACCCGTCCTTGGATCAACATCACCCGTCCTTGGAACAACTTCCCCCGTCCTTGGAACAATATCCCCCGTCCTTGGAACAACATCACCCGTCATTTGAACAACTTCCCCTGTCTTTGGAACAACATTCCCCGTTTCGCGCTCAACTGGCCAGTTAACAAGGGGCGCTCAACTGGCCGCGCTCAACTGGCCCGGTCTCAACCGGCCCGCGCTCAACTGTCCTCGGTCTCAACCGCCCGGTCTCAACTGGCGGGGCTCAACCGGCCGCGCTCAACTGACCCCAACCGTGCTATATACTCTTTCTAGGAACTTTATGGACATCCTGCTTGAGAGGCTTTAGAGACCTGCTAAATACTCCCTGCTACCTAAATTTTTTAGCCTTGACACTTTCCTAGTAATAATTTTCTAAACTCTCACTTTACTTTAATAATAATTCAATTTTAAAGATTATTACTCACTTGATTTACTTTTTCCAACTATCGGCGACAATAAAAATTTAAAAACACGTAAAATCAATGTAAAAATAAATGTTAAAGGTCGGAAAGAAAATATGAGACGTAAAAAAGAAAACATTTTTTGAAATTAAATTGTTAGTTTATGGAATTTTTGTATAATCTAGATCAAATTTTGAAAGTTTCTAAATCAAAAAATTGAAATAAATACCATTAATTAATTAAATTATTAGAAAATTAGACTTCGTCCTTGCTTATTCAAATAAATCCAAAGTCTTTAAATTTTTATTTAATAACTAAATTTATGAAATAAATATCATTTATCGAAAATATACGGTAATCTCCCTATTATACTGAGTTAGTAAATTATATCTTGATTTAACTGGCATTTTTGATATTATCAAGGGGCATGTTCTGAAATATTATTTAGAATTGATGGAAAGCAGAGGTCGATCAGAATTCAGATTTTCGACGTGCGAGTTCCGGCTTTTGAGCCAGTTCCTTTTACGGCACTTATTCGTTTCCGATCGATCTCTAATGGAAAGGTCTAAGAACGATTTTAAAGTATTTTGGCAGGTACCATAATAAATCATCTGAATCTAATCTAATCTTAATTTTTTAAATGACCATCCGGAAGCTAACGGATTTAATAAATTACCTTATTTCCTCTAATAGTACTATTTATAAATCCTCTTCTAATGGAAAGATACTTCAATATATAAAAAACAATTGAGGGGGCCGTATTATTTAAAGTATCTGATTTAATAGATAATATCATGATTTAACAAGTATTTCTGAATATTACCAGGAGTTGTGGTTCGAAATATTTCCTGAATTGATGGAAAGGTTTTAAAAGAGTTTTAAAGAAATCACAGGGACTACATATAATAAATCCGTTTTTAATTTTTTAAAATGACCATCTAGAATCTTAATTTATTTATTAACTTAAACCTTATCAAAGGTCAAAGTCGATTTTTACTAAAATAAATAGACAACAAATTTGGCATATAAAAATATAGGTGAACCAAAACATTAAAGAAATGAAAAATAAATATAGATAAGGAACGAAAAAAGCGGAAAAATTTTTTTATGTCAATTAATAGTTCTTGTTATGAATTGAAAAAGTTGTGTGGGGCTGCGCCATTGAGAGTAATAAAAATTGGTAGAATTTTAGTTTAGGTCGGATACTATATTTTATTTTATGATAAACAAGGTAGGTCAAGGTTTAAGAAATATCACGTTTCTGAATATTTTAAAATATTTTTAAAGTCTTTTATGAATGTTTTTAAGTTGTATTAGGTCTCGCATTAATTAGCCACATTTTTTCATCCATATTTTACATTTTTATTTAAAAAAATATTTATTATCCTAATTAATAAGTATTCTTTAGAGTGTTTTCTAACAGATTCCAAGTTTTAGAATTTTTGGTTTAATATTCTGTTCGAAAAATCAGAACTCTAACCTGAGTAGGCTTGCCGCCCAACACGAAAAAACCTGAGCTCGGACTCGACTCGACCCAAGCTCGGAAAAGATGAAATAAATTGACTCAAGACTTGAAAGAAACCTGTTAACTCTATCCCTATCTCTATACTTTTTAAAAAAGTTAATCATATTTAGTAAATAGACGAATTCTAGCCTTATGGTCTCCGAAAATTAAATTAAAAATTTTATCAAGAGATTTAATATATTTAAAATTATTTAAATTTATTAAATATTTTACATTTAAAATAAAATATTATTAATTTATCTGTGTTATTTTTATAATGACAGTTATTCTTTAATTATAAAGCAGAGATATTGCAAATTTTAAAGTTGAGATCTAAAATAATAATTATTAATAGAATTAATTATATTGTTGGTAAATTAGTTATTAATAATAACTCCAATGCTCCCCGAAAAGCGTGCCCTCAGGATTCGGGTCCAACCCTAGTCCCCATTTTTATTTAATGAATTTGGTGGTTACTTTCGGATTCGTTAACATTGATGGGGTTCTGGATCACTAGAATTGTAGATCTAAATATCTCTAAAATTCGAAATCCCACGTAAAATACAAATTAAGGACTAAAGAAGAGTAAAATCTGCTCTGAGTGGAGACAAGTTAGAGTGATTTAGACAATTTTGATAATAATTTTATAAAGATTTAATAACTTTCTTACTTTCACGCCTTAAAAATTTCAAACGGAACAGCATCTTCCGACACAGGAATTCCAAAAGCGTCGTAGCAATCTTTTCTAGCTTTCTTCACATCCACTTTATTAATAGATTCACATAGTTTATTATCACTGCATATCTCTTTCACATTGTTAAAAATATTAGAAGAAAATATTTTGCAGTAAGGCTCTACAGCAGCCATAACAGTATTTGCAGTGTGCGTACAACATTTTTTATTTGGATGACACAGGCATCTCAAAATTATTTCTACCTCTAAAGAGGCTTTACAACTCTTTATATAATCCCTGCTGTTAAAGTATCGTTCACATAATTCGGTCTCGATAGGATGTAATTTAGTCGCGTTATGGTATATATCACAGGTGCTGCTCGCACTAAAAATCGCAGAATATACAGCACCATCACATTGGTTGGCGTAGTATTCGTCGTCTTCTAATGTGTTGTTGCACTAAGAATTTTTAACATTATAAATGGAATTCCGTAGACTAATCTGAATCCGTAGACTAGACCTATACTCTCTATAATTAGCTTATCTAATGCTAGTATCCTTGTATCAATTAGTTTTACCAATTTATTTAGTGTCGCTCTAGTTTTCAAACCAGATGTTATTTTATTTGTAGCAATATTCCTTGCATGAACGATAATAGTCAATATTATAGAAATTATTAATAAAATCGTTATACGGACAATAAGATTCATTATTAAACTAAATATAAGTAAAATTAAATTTTAAGTTTCTGGGAGATATCGTTAGCGAGGTGATAAATTTTTAGATAATTTTGTAAGAATAGAAAATTAGGTACATAGTATTTCTATCAGGAATAAGAATATTAATAAATAATTTTCTATTAATATACATTTATAAGTGCTGATAAGAATCACCTTTCAACACTAAACTTATTCCTGCCCACATATTCCTTATAGAAAAGTAAAGGTAGTTATTTCTGCTATCATTATCTATGCAAATATGATGCCCTCGTTGACCTTGACCTAATCAAAATAATGGATAAATCAAAATAAATATTATATTATGAGAATTAATGTAGCTAATTGATATCATTCGCAAGTTATTCATTAATTTTTTTGATAAAATTAAGCATTCTTTTATAAAAATCTTGCCAGTATATGTTTAAAAGAAACATAAAATGGATTAGTATTGTAAAAAGAAGAAATCTGGCGTATTTTTAAATCATATAATCCCTATCAAGCTAATTAATTATTAATAAAAGTCCAAGCATTCGGCTTAACATAAAGATCAAAACAAATTTTTACATAGAAATCGGATCGAACAGAACTAGTATAATTTTGTGGAGGAGTGTAGTTCATGATACTTAAAAAGCTAATAAGGAGAGGTGTTCGAAACCTATTGAAAAATCTTTTTTGGAAAAATTTAATTTTTATTTAAAATTTAAGAACAAAACAGTTAGAAAATTAGATTACTAAAAAAAACAATGATTAGAGAATTTAGAGAAAAACAACAGATTAATTATCAAATTTGGTTAGGTTGAATTGCTTGTTTCGTCCGTACTGAGACAATCTAGCACCTAAAAACAAAATTATTTTTCAGAATAATATTTTTAAAATTTTGAGATTAAAAATAATCAGAATAAACATATTTATTGGATAATTGTATTTTCCGGAAAATGTTTAATTGAAATAATAATGTTTTCCGGAAAAAGGGCTTCCCAATATTAATGTTTCCGGAAAATACAATATGTTACTATTTTCTGAAATTTATAGCTATCGCTATATTCTGATCCGGAAAAGAATTATAATTTCCGGATAATAAGTATATCTCAGAAGTAGTTAAAATTCTGATTATACGAATAGTTATATTCCGGAAAATACACCTCTCGTTATATTCAGTTATTCTGATTATACCGAATAACTTGATTATATCTAATAATTTTAATATTTAAATACCTTATGACAAATATCCTCCATCATTGGGACAGTTAAATTTTGCACATACTTTTAAATATATTTAATTAATAGATCCCATCAGAAATCTGATGCAACTCACAATATCCCACCACTCCGTATCCGCACCCATTTTCGCCTCCCCTTCTGGGCCCTCTCCCATTCTGGCCATTTTAAAAGACATATAGAGGAGCGCAACAGCAATAACTTCGGGTTCCCACAATAAACAAAGATTAGTAGCTAATGAATCGTTAATAAACGTCCAAGCATTAGTCTGAATTTTTGGATTTTCTTGGATTTTTGGAAATTAAAAATACCACAATTTTGCTCATATAATCTTTATCGAGCTTAAATCCCTTAGCATATTGGACCAAAAAATTGTACTAAAAAATAGTTAATTAATGAGAAAATATTGGAAATTGGAAGGTCTCACGGGGTGTTCAACATGAAGATCAAAACGTATCGTTTGTAGCAAAATTCGTTCAAGAAGAATTAATTCATCCTATTCAAAAATAGTTAAATTTAAAGAGAAATTCGAGATTTAATAAACCATTAAATTCTTCCCAGCAAATTGTTTCGGATATTTATCTTTAGCAGTTTGAACGAGATCTTTACACTTTTTAGGTGTTTCTTCTACTTTTCCAGCAAGAAAAAGACAGGCTAATCCCATCATCTAGTAAAAAATATGATAATTTCCGGAAATATGATATCCGGAAATTATATTATTAATAATGTAGTATATTATTATTTTCCGGAAAAGTTAACTCTTTGCTACTACTTTCCATAAAATTATAAGTATATTTTCAGGAATTATTATTATAGAATTGGAAGTATATGCTTTAAGGAAAATTAGTATATATATTCCGGAAAATAATTATTATATTTTCCGGAATTATTATAAGTTATACTTATATAGTTTCCGGAAATTAGTGTATAACTACTTCCGGAAAATAACTATAATTATAAATAAAAATCCGGAAATAATAACAAATAAAATATATAATTTCAGAATTTTATATTTTCCGATAAATATTTTCAGGAATAGAAATATAAATAGAAAATATATTTTCGGTAAATAGATAATATTCCGGAGATGATATGTATTCTGAAGATAATTAAAAATAAAATATCTATATTTTCATAATTATATTTTTTCCGGAAATAGTCTATAATTATTATCACGCTAAGCTTGTTAAATATAATTATATAATAGTTACGTGTGGGGGATAATCAGCAAACGTGTTGAACATGTAAAATCTGTGAAAGAATACACTTGCAGTGGCTAAAGTTGGATTTGTTTTTCTAGAGAAATTTTTTTTTAATTTTTGAAAATTATTATTTATCAACTAACAAATTAATAGATTTTCCCATTTCTTTAATCATCCTTACACCTTCTCTTCTCAATTTATTTTCTTCTGCCATGGATATACCGGCCTGAACTGAAGGTGTATTTTCCAAATCTTCTGGATTCCAAAGCCAATGTGTATTTACACTCATTTTCAATATTTTAACTAAAAACTGAAAATCGTTAAAATTTTTGGCTAGAATTTTTTAGGGCAATTATTGAATAAATTGTTTTGTCTGTTGTAGAGTCTAGACTCTACGGAGCTGACTAATCCCCAAAATTTCTTCCTTCCCTCGGCCTTCGTCCATTCATCCCTTCCCCCACCACAACTGCCATGGTCGAGCAACTCTTCAGCAGTTTCAATTCTTCCCCCAATGCTTCCCACTATACTCTACCATCGATTTATATGTGCACATAGCTCACATAGTGTACCAGCGCTTAGCATAGTATAGACCCTACAATTGCCACCCCTTTGTCCGTAATAATTTTTTATTTTTAAATTTATTTACAGACAGATTTTTAATCCATACTTACGAGAATATTATTCGTTTAACTAAATATAGGAAAAAACCGGAAGGCTATAAATAGGCTCAAATAGGCTCTTCCGGATTTATTCCGGTCGTTCTTTTTTTTCAATGGATTTTTTCTTTTGTTAAAAATTAATTTTCAATTTTTCAAAATTTTTCCGAAAATAAAAAAAATAAAATTTCAAGTATTTTCCTTCCTTTCCCTTTATATCCACTCTCAACTCTTGACCATTTTTCCTGCCAGCCTGGCAGCATTTTTGGGCACTGCGCCAACAACCATAGTACTTTTTTAGGCTAACAAAAGGCCATAAATAAGAGGGAAATATTACTAAAAATAAATAACCTTAAACCTTTCCTTTTTTAAATATATTTGCTTAAGGGATCGTTTATCACGTTCTATTTTTATTTATTTTAAAAACGACTAAAAGTGACACCTGAGATAAAAATAAATTTAAGTCCCTTAAATATTATTAAATAAAATTCCGGCAGCCAATCTACCCAAGCATTGTCTTTATATTCCCTTTAAGCCTTTGTCCAGCCTAATTCCTCAAATTGTCAACAAGCCTCGAGGGATGAAATAAAAATAAAAATTTAACAAAAAACGGCCACACTCCAAATTGGAATGCTGGGAAAAATTAAAAATGAGAGAGGAGGCTGTATAGTTAATGCATTTGCAAGACCAGCTAATATGTCACCCGCTTCGTATCCATAAATAACAAAGCGTTGGGGACACACATCTAATTAATAAATATTTTTTCTTTATTTTTATAACCATGTTTGAGACCAAAAATAAAATTAATATTAAATGTATTGTTATATTTGTATAGTGAAAAAAATAACTATAATTTATAAATAACTATAATTTCCGGAAGTAAAGTTTCCTGATTTATTTCTCTTTTATTTCTCTTCCGGAAAGTTTCTTTAACTATAGTTATCTTTATATTTTCCGGAATTCTATTTTTGCTATTATTATATTTTCCGGAAACTATAAATATATATTTCCGTAATTATATTATACTTTCTCCGGAAATACTATAGTTATATTGAATTCTCGTTTTTTGTTTATTTATCAGAATAATCCTAATTATCCTGAACTATCTTTTTATTAATACATATTCTATTTCCGGAAACTTAATGCTGATTTTAGTTATACTTACATTATAACTTTTACGGAATTTATATCTCGTCTAAGAATTTATTTAAATAATTAAAATACAGAATAATTATTTAATATTATTAGCAAATATTTATTAAAATGGAAGCAGCTACTAATACACCTAGTACTAGTAACGAAAAATTTTCAACAAAAAAAAACTCATTAAATTTAAAATATCAGATCAACATTAATTATAATAATAATTTTAATTATTACAAATATTTCCCAAAAATTAAATTAAAATTATTTCAACTAAAAAGGATGCATTTTTGCAAATTATTTAATTATGTGCCTCGATATTTAATTAATATTTTAATATTTATTTTTCTATTTGGCAATAATAAATTAGTGAATGCCTATTCAGACCATGGTTGTTATTTAAAAAAATTTTGGAATAAAAAAAATAAAATTTAAAGTCCCACCACCCCCTCGTAATGTCCACGTTACACAGATGAACAGCTCAACTGTTAAGGTCACTTGGCAGCCTCCTGATGATGAGTCTGCTGAAGTATTTGGATATAATGTTTATAAGGTTTTTGATTTTTATTAAGAGGAAATATCTAAATTTATTTACTTTTTTTCCCGAATAGTTTAGGGTCAAAATTTATTAAAAAATTAATTTTTAAGAGCTAAACTGAAATTTTTAAATTAATAAAAATGAGGATTGTGGCATTAATCCTTCATTGAGAACAATTTTTGAATATTTAACAATTATCAATATACTAAACTATTACCCAGTAGAAGCCCCACAATTTTGGAGCCTACTGGATTGGAGAATACTGGACCTTCAATTTTGTAGCCTACTGGATATGTAATAGAAACTTGGGCTCCTATTAGGATATATACTGTATCTGGTTATAGATTCATGTATTTGAATTTGAGGATAAATATTCGGGACCGTGAGCTAAAAGAGCTTCAATTATAAAAATTTTAACTAAAAATATTTTTTAATGTTTTTTAGTTTCAAATTGTGAATGAAGCTTTTGTTAATAATCTACGGAGGGCTATAGCTATTGTTGATCGACATGTAAGCTTGTAAAAATTTTTCTAAGGAATTTTTCGAGTTTATGATATTTATAAATCTCCAAATTTTAATTTAAAAAATTCAAAAAAATTTTTTAATTTTAAAAATTCGCAAAAAATTTTCATAGAAGCTCTACGCTCATTTAAACGATTTGGAGCCTAACACAGAATATGCCATTCGGGTAGCTGCCTTCAACATGAAAGGGGATGGAGAGCTTTCACAATTAACCAAACAGAGTAGAATACTAACCGGAGGAAAACGTTAATTTAAAAAATTAAAAAAAATTTTAAATTAATTTTTAGCTCCTTCCCCTCCACGTCCACAGTCAATCTCACTCGTTTCTGAGCTCAAACCGATCAAGGCTAGGGTTGAATGGCTTCCTCCAAAGTTTCATTTTTGGACAATAATTTTTTCAAAATTTTCAATTTAGTAATACGTATAATCTGCCTTTAAAAAATTATATTTTGTGGTGGAAGTCAACGCAGAGCGAGACGGTTCATAAAGCTCAAGTACCTCCTAATGAATTGTCTTTCATTCTCAATAATTTATGTAATGATTTGATTAGTAAATTAAATTATTAGAGAGGGATCAGTTCATTAAATATTAGATTAGTAGAAAAATTTTATAGAATATTGGCTAAATCTGTCAAAATTACTGCCTCTGAACTAGATCTACGGATGCCCTATAATTAAAGATATTGGGAGATCCATCAAATATCACTCAAAAACAACTACTTATAGTTAGGGTTGTCAGTTCTTGAAAAATTTTATCAAAAACATAATCGAAGGACCATACAGAAATATTCTTGTGCCTTCGTTTCGTTCCTAACTGATAGCCCTACGGATAATAAATTGTCTGGATTAACTAGACGATTACATGGAAAAAGAGAGTCACAATTCTTAATATTACCTTTAATAAATTCTGAAAATCTTGGAAATTTTTGGAATTCTTGGAAAAGTTTTGGAAATTTTCCCCTTTAGATAATGGCCAAGAATACCAGCTATACATTGCAGCCGTAAACGAAGTCGGTGCTAGCGAGAATGCCACTGAACAATTAATTACACCTACTGGAGTACCCGATGCTGAACCTCTAAATATTCGCTACACAATATTTAGAAACAAGCTTTCAATACTTTGGGATCCTCCTCCATGGCCTAATCGGAATGGAAATATAACTCATTATGAGGTTGATCTGATTCAACTTAACAGTGCTACAGCTAATTCTATTAAAAGAAATGTTAGTTAATGAATTTTTATAATATTAGACTAAGTTATTAGAAGCATGCTTCATCTTTTAGAAACATGAGTTACATTTATAGAAGCATGCTTCAGTTAGAAACATGATTCAGTCTTAAGAAGCATGCTTCAGTTTAAATAAAAACGTGCTTCAGACCTATAGAAGCATGGTTCAGTTAAAAACTCAGTCCCGTAGAAGCATGCTTTAGTTAAAAGCATGTTTCAGGCTTAAGAAGCTTGCTTCAGTTTAAATAAAAACGGCTTATAGAAGCATGGTCAGTAGAGGTTTAGAAGTTAGAAGTTTTTTTAAAGTTCAAACTTCTCAGTCCCGTAGAAGCATGCCTTAGTTTAAAGATGCTTCACTCTTATAGAAGCATGCTTTCTATAAATGTCTTGAATGATACAAGTTTATGAATCATGCTCTTAATAAAAAACATTTAATATGGATATCTAGGTATCATCACAAACTGCCATCTTTGATATAGACCCGTCACAAAATTATGCTTTTCGAGTTGCAGCTGCTACAAGTAAAGGAACCAGTAATCGTGTTGCTGAGCTTAGGATTGATGCTCATAATGGAGGTAGGATTTAAAAAATTTTTTTTGATGTCGTTTAAAGCTAATGTCCTTTTTAAAAATATTTTAACAATACTTAACCTATTATTTATTTTTGTATAAGCACTCTCCCTGTGAGGCATACTTCGCTCATTCTCTCATTTCATACTGTATCTCTTCAGAAATTTATTTTCTTATTTATCTATTCCGATCCACATCCTTCTATTAATCTAATAATTTTTTAATTTAAAAAATTATTCGAAAATTTGATTTCTTTTCTAAAAAATTTTTTTTGCCCTCTCAACAAGTCCCTTCAAACTTTAAAACAAAAAAACTGAATAAACCCTCCAATATATTAGCATATATTTATTTTTTTAAAAGTTTATTGCCTCACTTTTGCATTATTATTTTGCCTTCTCATTTCCTTTCCTCTCCAAAAAATGTCCAGGCAACCACACCACTTGCAGCACTCCACGGCATGCGCTTCACCCCTCTAATAAAACTCTTTCTCCCCCATTTTTTATATTTTTGTCAACATTGAAAATAAATAAATGTGCCCCGCAGAGCTTTATAGAAAGATTAAATTCCCGTATATACTCTCAGATTTCTTTTTTAGCTTTTTTTTTATAAAATACCAAACCCAACTACATATTGCTTTAAATTGTTGTTTTTGTGCACTTTTGAGAAAAAATTGCATGAGAATATGTATTTTTAAAAAAAAGTTTCAGAACACAGATTTTAACAAAAACACAATAGTTCCTATTAGAAAATGCTTCATGTTTTATTATATAAATTCTGAAAAATATTCTGAAAATATTCTGAAAAAATTCTGAAAAAATCAGAATTATAAAATTTAGAGTTCTGATTTATAAAAGAATTCTGTTTGATAAAAATTCAAAGTTATATTCAGAATTCTGATTATATATTTATAATTTTATAAAATTCTGTTTATAATAATTCTATTCAGAATTCTGATTAGGGATTGTTTATAATTTTTTAGAATTCTGTTTTATAATAATTCAATGTTTTTTTTCAGAATTCTGATTTATCTGAAATAACCCACAAATTAAAATTTCAGAGTTCTGGTTTTATTCTAATTTCTATTAATTTAATTTCTGTCAATTATAATTTCTGGTTTAACCATAATAAATAAAACTTGGAAAAAATAACTCTAAAATAACTCTCAATTTAATTATACGTGTTTATTATTTTCTGATTCTTTTCAAGTTTTCAAGTTTATTTTTAACCTCCCGGAAAAACTTGAAAATTAAATATTCTATGTAGTAAAACTTGGAAAAAATAGTATAAACTTTTGGGAAAAATAAACTTGGCAGGTAACAAAAAATAAAACTTGACAGACAATGCAGCCAACTTTTTTAGATTAGAGAAGCAGGCGGAAATATTAATGCCTACCCCTTAAAAGCTTTTTATAGCCCCACAAGTAAATAGCTTTTTTATCTTCTTTTTTGGCTATGGTCCACCTGCATTAAACAAAACAATAAAAATAATAATAGATAAAAAGTTGGCTGGAATTTACAGCAATTTTTCACAATGGTTGAGTACCTAAAATTTATTTTTTTGTTATTTTTGTTTTATTTTTTAAATAATTTTTAACAATAATTTGTTTTCATAGCTCTAAAAATTCAATAATTTCCATTGAAAATTATTTTTAAAAATTTTTTATGATCCCCGCTATTTTTCAAATTCTTCAATCTTCACATACTACCTCATCCAAACGACTTTCAATGTCTTCAAGTGATCCCTCTTCTTATTCCTCGTCTAATTCTGCTTCTTCCAGCTCCTTCACCCCACAAAATACTCCATCATATTCTCCCTCTTCATCCAAAAATTCTACCTCTTCCTTAAAAAACACCAAAACTGAACAAGAAACTGATAAAAATAACTACAATCAAGAGCCATTATCACCAGAATTGTGTAAATATAAATTGCTTTTGCGGTTCGAGGATTTGGTAAATAAACTGGCTGCCGGATGGAAATATCACGTGGCTAATACGGAGGGTGTTAAGGAGTCTTGGAGCCGTTTCGAGCATTTTTATTTGGATTTATGCTCGTATACTGAAGGTTAGACTAAAAAAGTTGCAACAAAAATAATTAATATTTTTTTATTCTTCTAAAAATAACTCTGAAAAATAACTCACAATTTTAATTATATTATCTTCTGATTATTATTCTGATTATTATTTATCTTTATTTACTGATTTTTTTATAAATATTTTTTTTAACTTCTGTTGATAATAACTCTAAATATTATAAGTTCCGGAAAAATATTATAATTCTGATTCTTCCTTAATAATCAGAATTATTATACCTTCTATTTTCATATTTATATTTTAAATTATTTCTTACGCTCCGGAAATATTCTGATTCTTAGGAATATTATTTATATTTCCGTTTAATTTATTTCCGGAAATAATAACTTAATATTATTTATAGTTTCCGGAAAAGTATATTAATTCTGATTCTTCCGGAATAATCAGAATTAGTATATTTTTATATTTCATATTAATTCTGATGCTCCAACTATTCTGATTCTTTGGAATATTATCTATATTTCTGATTAATTTACATATTTCTGGAAAGATAAATTAATTTTTATTCTTCCGGAATATTAAGAGTTATTCTAATTATACTAATAATATTTTTTTATTATTTCTGATGCTATAAACATTATTTATTCCATCTAAAACTTCCCTATTTTTGCTTCAACTTATTTCAAATGCTTATTCGTTCATATGGAAATTTTGTTTTTAGTAAAAACGGAGGAAAAACATTAATATAAAGCTATAAACTTTAAGTACATAAACACTTTTACTGCCATTATTATTATTATTATTTTTATTCTTTCCTTACTTTTGCTCATCAACCGGAAGAAAAATTGAAGGAATAAAATGCGTGGGAATATTTCTAACTATTTATTATGTATAATTTTGGGATTTTTTGATTTTTTTTTGTATTTTTACGAGAAAATCTGTCAGCAATTTGCTTAGGAAGTAGGCTTTATATGGTTGCTTCTCTTACGGGGTTTCTATAATTTTTTTAAATTTTTTTTTAATTTTGAAGGAACATTTTTTCGAATTTTCTGCCTCTAATTTTATTGAATTTTTAAAATTTTTACTATTTATTATTTCGTTTTCCTCCATTTCCTCTGTCAATTTACATCCCAAAAACATCCCTCCATTTTATAAGAGGACAGGATAAAGGGTCATCGCTTCTGGCATTCTTTTTTTCTTCGAATGTCCTCAGCTTTACATAAAATGAATTTTTTTTAGCTCTTCTTCCCATTTTTCTTATCGCGCTAAGAGCACGAAAAGGCTAAAAAATAAAATAAAAAAAGCCTCCCTCGGGGTAGGATTTGCAATAAAAAAAATTTCCTTTCATGTCTCTTACGACCCATTTATCTAACTCAAAAAACTTGATGGAAATTAATTTTGTTTTGTGTTGCAAAACTTATTTTTAGATTTTTTTCGTTCGTTGGCAACATCAAAAAACGTAGTTTACTAAAAATACTTTTTTATTTCTTACTTACTTTTTTTAGTCCTAAAATGAATGCGTTTATTTCCTTGATTACTTGACAAAATTAACTAAGAGGGAGGTATAAGTCGAGCCTAGGGCATGACCTATCTTGCGAACTACTGGCAGCTATTGCTGGGCTAAGAGCTTTAGCTCACCACGTTTTCGCTCAACGAATGAGTTATCAGATCTCGCGTATCTTCTCTTTTAATAAATAGATCTTATACGCCAGCCTATTAAGCGATCTCAATTCTCGTACGACCCAACCAATCCGGTTTCTTGTAATCACTTATAAATTAAGGTCTCTTAAGATATCGAGATTCACATAGCTTAATAAATAAAAGTGTCAATTATTAACAAATCTAAAAATTTTCAACACCCAGTCTTCATCAGATTTTATTATTAGCTAATCAGAAATGATAGAAACAGGACACAGAAAATTTATGGAGAGAAAACCAAGCTTTAGAAATGCGCAGAAAAAACATCAAAATATGAAAACACGTAGTAGCAGCAATAATAATTTAAACACTCTCGACCAATTTTTTAATTTAGAGCATCGACTTTGGAACAAAGGTTCGGGAAAGGAAAAAATTTTTTAGAGAAGTAAAATTTTTCTTTTTGTTAAAAATCTTTCTTCATTCTCCCTATTTATCAAAAACATCTCTCAAAGCTCTCTCTCTCTCTCAAAGCTCTTTCTCTTTTGTTATCCAATTAAAAAGCTAATAAATATGATTAACTCTCCCATAGTGAAACATTTTAATTTTTTTTATGGCTACTGCACTCACTTATCTCCCCTGGAAATTTTTTTAAAATATTTAAAATTATTTCCTGAGAGTAAAGGGCAAAATATTGTAGCAAAAACAACCAATTTAAACATGAAGCACTTACTAAAATATTAAAAATAAAATAAGTAAGCTTTTGAAAGCTCACTCACTCTCATTTTAAATTCCGCCACCTTTTCACATTTCACCTTGGCCCTTTGTTATGGCCATAAAATATATATTTGTCCTACTTTTTGCTTCATTGGACGTATTTCTTTCAATTTGCTTCACTTTTCTTTATTATAGTTATAAGTATAATTACTATCTTATATTGATTTAAATCCGGAAAATTATACAAAAACTGTATGATTAATATTCCGGAAAATATATAGCTTCCGGAAATTATATTAACTAGTATAATAATCCTGAAACTATTTCCGGAAAGTATTCATAGAATACAAAACTTTCTTTTCCGGAATAGTTCTATAATTTAGAGTTATATTCTTCCGGAAAGTTATACTTTATAATTAATATTCCGGAAAATATATAGCTTCCGGAAATTATTATATTAACTAGTATAATATTCATAAAACTTTCCGGAAAGTATTAATAGAATATAAAACTTTCTTTTCCGGAATAACTCTATAATTTAGAGTTATTATATTCTTCCGGAAAGTTATATTCTTTAAAAAAGTTATATTCTTATTATATTCTTCCGGAAAGTTATATTCTGTATTCCGGAAAGTTATTCTATTATTTTTCCGGAGAGTATTCTTAGGTTAACCGAAAAATTATACTATTATTTATTGGGAAAATAATTATATTCGTTTCCGGAAAGTATTTTAATGTTTTCCGGAGATTATTCTATACTTTTCCTAGAAATGTATTTTCCGGAAAGATTCAATTTACCTATTTTCTTTATTTTAATTAATTAATATTATGTACGTATAGCCCATCTATTAATCTAATTATGATTCCTCTTGAAAATTTTGCCTCCCAAAAAAGTGTATTAACTGCGGTTATTGAATCGCTTCTTAAAATGGACATTAGCGAAAATGAATGGCGTAAGGCCTTAAAAACAGGTTTTGGAAAATATTTTCCCTCTAAGATGAATCAAATTAAAAAATTTCTTTCCCTTCAGCTGCCATCCAACCCCCACAAAATGTTCGAATCCAAACAATCTCTGAAACTTCCGTTGTTATTCAATGGGATTTTGATGATTCTGTGGATAGTAGTGAAGCTGGACAGCCTGATGGTTTTCTTGTCAAATATGTGCCTGAACCTATGGTGGCCCGTGAAACTGCTGGAATGGATAAATGGCGTAGTCAGCCTGTTATGGACCCCAAAGCACGTCATTTAGAGATTGGAAGGTGGAAACAAAAATACTTAAAAATTCAAAAAAATTTTTAGATTGATAACCTCAAAGTCATACTCCTTTTGTGTGTTGGCCATGAAGCAAAGAGTAAGTCTTGCCATTTTTATGCCTTAATCCGTCAAAAATTTTAGCGTCTTGGCCCTTGTTCTGACCCTCCCGTTACTCTAATCGGACCTCTACGTCCTACCCATGTCGTACAAAATCTTCGGCTGGACTACAAAACTAGCCAGTCAGTCCAAATCCGCTGGGAATTTGATCCACTTGCTTCGACTTCTCAAAAAATTGGATTTTATCTTAAACAAATGGGTCAGAAGAGTTACTTGGATCAAGATTTGGTAGAGAAATCTATGGTTTCACCTCAATTTGAAAAGAGAGTGAATGGATCTGAAAGGCAATTATTTTTAGCAAATTTAAGGCCTTATATGAATTACACATTACAATGTGAGGATCTTCTCTTAATTTTTTGGAAAGCTAAGAAAATTCTTTTAGTGGGTGTTTACTCGCTAGAAGATGGTCGGCATTATTGGCCTAGAGAATTGCAAGTACAAACAGACCCTAGAGGACCTCCTTTTGTGGAAGCACCAGAATTTATCCAATCTGATGGACCACATACCGCACAGTTCCGGCTAAGTCCGGCAAGGTTAATAAAATACAAAAAGTTAACGAATTCCCCTTTTCTTTTATTTCCAGCGAGGAGTACGGTATTATTAGCCATTACTGGTTGATAGTTATACCAGCAAATAACAACAGATCCAAGGAAGCTGTTACTAGCGCTGATAAAGGTCAGCTTCAGATTGCAACACGAGACTTTAGGTGGGATATCGAGCCTCTCTTTTTCTAAAAATCTCTCACTTTTCCCTTTAGAACGGCTAGAACTGCCCAACTCCAACAGCTAACAATAAGTAAGACCATAATAAAGTCAAATTTTAACAAAAATTGTTTCAGCATCAAGTAATTCCGACCAACAGCAACACAGGCATAGACGTCATGAAGTTTCCTACGTCCATGTTCGACAGCAACATCCCCATAGAAAAAGACGGCATCAACATATTAACGACAAAGTTGAGGTTAAACCTCTCGATGGGGTTTATATTGCAGCACAGATATCTTCTAGTGAAATGCAACGTTTATATCGAGATGAATTGACTTTTACACTTGGGGATGGGCTGGTTTGTGAATAAAATTTAATTATGATCATAATAAGACTGTATAATTATTAGGAATACGAAGGCTTCACAAACTTCCCGCTTGATCCACACGTAAAAATCTATCAGTTAATGAGTCGAGCATTTGCTAGGGACGAGCATTGGAAGCGTGCTTCCGACCAACCAGTATAAATCAAGCTTTATTACCCAGCAATCTAAAATATTTTAGAGTGATCATCGTCCACCTTTACAAGAACCACAGTCAAAATTGTATACAGACTCGGCTTTGAGTGATCCCTTTGAAACTCGAGTTCCTTCTTTGTTCACAGGAGGAGGGTCTATTCGAGGTGGAGGAATTATGTTTCCTCTCTTGGCGGTGACTTTAAACATTCTTTCCCTTAATATTACTCTATAATCAGGCGGGTATAACCTTCTTTGTGATAGCCGTACTCGTTGGAATGCTTTTGCTATGGTGGCTTAGATGCAAGAGGAACACGAATGCTACCAGATCCTCTACAAATTCCATCCATAAAGTACCCCTAAGTTCGCGTGATTTACCCGCAAAGGCTAATGGACATGGGACTAACGGTGTTTTGCCTACTGAAACTAATAAATTACTATTGGGAATGGATCAGGTTCAAGAGACATTCTTTAAGTTAAATCATTTTTGATAGGATGGGCGTCCTGTATTAAATTCTTATGATCATTCCGCTATTGCTGGCAACGTGGAAATTGGTTGCGATGATTTATCTCCGGATGGAGCGGTGCTTTATCCAGGCGAATGCCTTAGACAACAACCCGCCTTAATTTCTTCTACAGGTGAGAGAGAGAATTAAAACTTGGAGACTAGTGCTTCTGAGCTCTTCAATGAGTAATAACTCAATTTAAAAACTAAATGGCTTCGGGGATTTCAGAAAGCTGGAGCCACAAGTTTTAAGTATTAGGAGCCTAACTAGCTTCCCCGTGGTCTTGGCTATAACCCAATAAGTATGTTTGGATTGCGGATGTCTCGACCCCCAAAATTTTTGTCTATGGACCAACACGCATCTGATCTAACATGACAATCTCTCATTTTTTCTAGGTATTTCTCCAAACACAATAAGAGATTCTTCTAATATTTATGGAGGATTAACAACTATCGGAAATGCTCATTTATCCCTTTCACAGCAACGAAGTCCAAATACAAACGCAATAATTCCTATACCCTTAACCGAATTCGCAACACATATAGAACGACAAAAAATGAATAATAATAGAGGGTTTATACAAGAATTTGAAAGTATTGATACCGGGCAACATTTTACTTGGGAAAATTCCACAATGGAGGTTAATAGGCACAAAAATCGGTAATACTTGGAAAAAATCTTGTTGAATAAAATTTAATATTTGAGCTATGCTAACGTTGTAGCCTACGACCATTCGAGAGTAATTCTGCCACCAGAGGATGATGAAGATGGATGTCTGGAGCAGCTACCGGGCAGTGATTATATTAATGCAAATTATATCGATGGGTAAATTTTCAAAGTTTTAATGGAATACGGTAAATACTTGTAGAAAGAATTACCCTTCAGTTTAAGATAAAAAAATTTTCAGTTGTTGGCTAATGGTGATTGGAAGGGGGTTGAGAGATACCTAAGATCCCTCTCGATATATTGTATGATTTTTCAGCTCCAAGGGGTTTTCAGCACCACTAGACCACTTATGGTGAGGTAGGGGAAGGGTGGGTGTTACCTAGAAAAAGGGGGAGGGGATAAAAATCTATCTCTGGATAAAAATCTATTTTTAAATAAATATATCACAACTTTCAGTTATGACAGACCAAAGGCTTACATAGCTACTCAAGGTCCTCTACCCGAAACATTTGCAGATTTTTGGAGGATGGTTTGGGAGGAGAGATCTTACACAATTGTTGTCCTTACTCGATTAGAAGAGCGTTCTAGATCAAAATGTGACCAATACTGGCCTAGTAGAGGGTCTTCTCTTTATGGCAGTTACAAAGTTACTTTAATGGAGACATCAGAATTGGCTCATTACTGTATCAGAACGTTGAGATTGGAAAATACAAGGCATAGGAATGAGCCTGGAAGAGATATTCAACATTGCCAGTTCACTGCTTGGCCAGATCATGGAGTGCCTATCCACCCTACTCCTTTCTTAATGTTCCTTAAAAGGGTGAAGGCACTTAATCCGATGCAAGCTGGACCTATTGTAACACATTGCAGGTGATTATAATTAATTTAAGATAAATCATAAAATCGACCCTAGCAATACCTCCCGGAAATTTACACTTTCGAATACTAGACTACCGCATCTCCGGTTTCTTTTAGCATTATTATTCTACTAGGTCTGGACACAAGATTAAGTAACCGATATTCTAGAGCCGGTTCCCTTAGCTGTGAAACCGCCAGAATTTTGGAAATGTCTTGAAATGAAACCTATAACCGTTCGCTCTTTTGAAATCGCAAAACCATTGATTTTGAGGAGTGAGTTACAAAATATCATCAAAAAAATTCTCTCAAATATTCATAATTAATTTTATCAAAAATTCAGTGCTGGCATAGGCCGAACCGGCGCCTTTATAGTCATTGACTTTCAACTTGATCGGTTGCGCTATGAGAATTCATTGGATGTCTATGGATGTGTTAGAGCTATTAGATCTCAACGCCAATACATGGTTCAAACAGATGATCAATACATTTTTATACATGATGCGTTGCTTGACGCAGCCCAATCGGGGTCTACAGAGATACCAAATTCTAAACTGTAAATTCCATAGCTCTCTTATTTTTAAAATTCTAATTTAAGCCTTCAACATGTCCAGACCCTTTCAAGACCCCAACTGCATAGTGAATACACTGGAATTGACATTGAATTTAATGTAGGAATATTTCAAAAAATATTTCCCGCTAAAAAATTTTTTTAAGACATTAATGTCTCTGAGGGTGCCAAAATGCTATCGTGCTACAGTAGCCAATGCAACTTACAATATTAATAAAAATGTTAAATTGACGGTTGTTCCGTGGGACTTTAACCGTGTTGAGCTGCCTAGACAGTTTCCGAAATCTGTTATTGATAACAATGGAAATGGGGACGATGAAGGGGAGTATATTAATGCTTCATGGATTGATGGATATAGGTCTGTGGAGATTAAATATTTAAAAAATGGGATTTGGCCGTGATTTTATGGGTGTAATAGGGATCTGGTGGGAGATCGGTGGATGTGGCGGGATTGGGTATCTATTGATGGGTTGGAGGGATATCTTAATCCCTAAACACCTATCTCACCTTTACCCTCACAATTTTTCGACATCCCTCTCAATCCGCCAAATCGCCTTATATCCTTCATAACCCCTAAATCGGAAGAACAGGATTAGAAGAATTTTCAGCAAGGCTTTTATCTTTCTAGATCTAGACGTTCCTATATAGCCACCCAGCTTCCCATGGCTAACACCGTAGCTGACTTCTGGCGCATGCTTTGGATTCATGAATGTTGTAAGTTTACTTAATATGAATCTTTATCCCAAACAAAAAAATTTTTTTAAAGCAATCGTGGCAATGCTAGTAAAACAACCTAACGAACAAGGCGAACGTTTCTTCGAGTATTGGCCAAGTCCAGGATATCCAGAAAACTATAATGGGTTAAACGTCGATTTTGTATCAGAATTTGACATGGGGCATTACTGGCTACGCGAATTTAAAGTGACTGACGAAGCGCATCACTCAAGGACCATTCGTCAGTTTCAGTTCATTGATTGGGCTGTCGATTGTCATGGAAGAGCGATTGGGGATGTACCCCTAAACTCTGAAAGATTTGTTGATTTTGTACGTCAACTGCATCAAACAAAACAACAGTTTGGTTCGGTCGGTCCTATCTGCGTTCATTGCCTGGATGGGGCAGGGCGGACAGGGACTTTCATTGCTGTCTCTTTGATTGTTTGCAGGTGACTTTAAAAACGAGGGGGATTATAATGAGGAGAGGAGATGTAGGGAGCCTATAGGGGGTAAAGAGGGGGGGGGGGGAGGGATCTTATAGAAGGGGCTTATTAAGAGGAGAAGAAAGGGAGGGAGGGAGATAAATGAGAAAAGTTTACACCAAGCTTTTGAGCCGTATCCAGACATAACTCCATCGAGCGGTGCCAGATGGTAGAACTCCTTTTAAAATTTTCTAACTTAAAAAATATTTTTAAGGGCTCAACTTGAACATGTTGTTGACCTCTTCACAACTGTAAAACTTTTAAGAATGCAAAGGCCAAATATGGTAGAAACTAGGGAACAGTATGAATTTTGTTATAGAGCAGCAATTGACTTTCTCTCCTCTTGGGAGGAAGGATGTTGAATTAAAAAAACAGCTGAGATTACGTCCGGTGAACAACCAAAAAAACACGATAATTAGTGAGAGAGGCAAAACTATTAAATACTAATCCCTTCAATTTTTTTTGAATTCTATTTGGGTTATTCTCTTCCTTCCTCAAGTGCCTCTGTTCAAAAAAATTACAAAAAAATTACAAAAAAATTTTTTTAAATTCACCTTTCGATTTTAATGTCTTCTGTTAACTATTTAATTAATAACTTTTGTTAATGATCTCAAATACATTTAATTTTTTAATTTTCTATAATTTTAATTTTTGATCATGAAACATATCCAATGATAAAATTTATAAATAATTTTGAAGGATATACATATTAATTTTATATTACGGGTGCTCTACCATTAATTAGTCCATGTAACACTAGCAAGATTCTGTGACTCTACCTCTGAGTAGTTGCTTTGCTCTACCTCTAAGCTTTTGCCCTCATTCTACCACCGAGTCGAGAGACAATCAGGGCAAAAATCTTAGCACATTTAACCCCAGCCTAGGCATTTAAAAAATTATACATATCGTCCTTCGAGCTGTAACGGATTGTATAGGGTAGAGGTGGATTGTTAAGGGTAAATAACACTAGCTAGGTTCTGTGGCTCTACCCCCGAGTTGTTGCTTTGCTCCATCTTCAAGCTGTTGCCCTCGTTCTACCACCGAGCCGAGAAACAATCAGGGAAAAACCTTAGCTAAATAAACCCCACTTAAGGAATTTTATAAATGCTTAGTTGAATCATGCATGCCATATTTCATTTCATAGCTCAAATTTTTTAACAAAATTAATTCAATTTTGATCCCCCAACTTTTTCCCTTCCTCCTACAAATTTGACCCAATTTGGCTGCCCTTCTTAACTAATCAACAAAAATTACTAGCACATCCATCTCCCACCTGTCCATTTATTTACGTCTCAAGGCCAGCTGCCTATTAGAGCTTCCTATCAAAAATTTTTTAAAAAGAATTCTTTGTTTATTAGTCGGTTTTGCTTAAAAAATGTTTGCGCAATTTTCATGGAGAAAAAAATAAGGGTATTAAAAGTAGAGTAGGGTAGAGACTGAATATCCCTCTCATCATTAAAATTGCGTGAAAGGGAGGTCATTTATAGCTATTTTGTTTTTTTTTGTTTTAAAACCAAAAAAAGGTTGTCAGCTTTTCGCTCCAGTCATTTTTAAATTTTCAACTAAAAATTTGGAAAAATGACTTTAAAATTAATTAAAAATAAAAAATTGGTTAGGCAATCCAGCAACTATTTTAATATAAACTTTATTTATTTTTATTTGTTAATTTTATTTTTGCCAACCTTAAATTCTGTTAATGAGGATAATTCATCGGCTGTGGTTACTCGGAAAATTTTGCATAAGAATGGAATTAAGGGTAATAATTTATTAAATTATTGCTTCCGGAAAAGTATTATTAAAATTAGTAAGTATATGTATTTTCCGGAAAAACATAGTAGTTATGGCTATTTCCGTATTTATATTTCCGGAATAGATTTAGTTTTGTAGTTATTCCGTATAAACTTTAAAATTTCCGGAAAATTTATATAATATTATATTATATTTAATATTACTTATAGTTTCCGGAAAGAGTAATATTTTACTTCCGGAAGGTACTATAGAGCTATTTACCATATTTATATTTCCGGAATAATTAAATTTAAGGAATAATTTATGGAAAATTTATTATTTTAATATTATTTTTAGTATTAATATAAATTTCCGGAAAATATATTTTACTTCCTGAAAATTATAGAATAGGTTCTGATTTTATAATTACTGGATGAATTAAACATTCCTGGATAAATAATTCCAGAAAAAACGATTGAGAATTTTCTCAATTTCAGAATTTGCGGTCCAGAAACGCATCAAAGACTTTGACTGTGCTTGTTTCTGCCTATGTTCCTTGCCTAATTCCTCTGAAGCAAATGCCCAGTTGGTGAAAATGATGCCAAATGGAAACTTTAGTGAACTAATTGGGCCAATATTCGGAAAAAGTTTTAAAATTCCTTATTTAATTTAATCTAATTATTTTTTAAGCTTTTTCTATCGACAAGGATATTAGAGGAAATCACTGTAAATGTTCCTGTGCTTGTAATAATTTGGAAAAAGGACTATCTAAAATTGAAGAAAGAAAAAATATAGAGGAGAATGTGCCGTTTTCAAATGATAATGAGACTAAAATGAGCGAAACATCAGCTACATTAAGAGATAATACCGAAGCAAGTAGCTTCGGTAGCGAGAAGACTACTGAACTTGCTTCGACAACAGTAACAATAACTAAAATTACCAATGAGTTTAATGATAATGGAACAGAATTAACTCATGATAATGATAAAAATAAGCTAAAAAGTGGGGAACTAACTTTAGTAAGTAATACTGAAGCAACTGAAACAACCAAGGGAAATGTTGAAGCAAATGGAGCAAGCACTGAAGGAAGTAAAGGATTAACTGAAGCAAAAGATTCAGGCAAAGAAACTTCAGTAACAGGTATTGAAGCATTAGAATCTGGCACTGAATCAAATAATGAAGCAAATGAAACTGCTAAAACTGATACAGAACTGTTGAAATCAAGTTCTGAAGCAAGCAGTGAAGCTAAAGAAGCTATGGAAACCAGTACAGAAATGTTAAAATCAAGTTCTGAAGCAATTACAGAGGAACCCAGTGAAACTAAAAGAACTGATACAAGTAAAGCAACTATTGAAGTAATCGAATCAAGCAGAAATACTGTGACAAGTACAGTCAAAGCAAATATAGAGGAAAATGAAGCAGTTATTCGGGTGATTGAGACAAGTACTAGAACAAGTGAAGCAAACAATGAATTAATCGAAACAAGTGTAACTTCAACTGAAGCATGCAAAGAATTAGATGAATCATTGAAGCAAGTTACTGAAGCAAGCAATGAATCTAGTAAAGGAAGCAAAATAATAGTTGAAGCAAATACAGAGAAGGCCGAAACAACAAATAAAGCTATAGAAACAATTAAGAATACTAATAAAGCAGCTAATGAAGCGACTAACCCTAGTAGTGAATCAGTCGTAATGATCAAAAAAACCCCTGAAGTCTTAGAAGTAAATGCTACAACTGTTGAAGCAAGTACTGAAGCGGTTCAAACAAGTAGGGAATCGGTTGAAGCAGATACCACACATATTGAAGCACAAACTGAAGCAGCTCAAACAAGAATCGGAACAACAGAACGAGCTAATGAGCTAACTAATACAAGAAATGAAATACTTGAAGCAAGCACCACTGAAGCAGCTATGAGGATTAGTTTGCAAAGTCAAACAAGGACTAAAATATCTGAAACAACTAAAGAACCAGTTGAAGCATTAAATAAAACTGAAGAAGAACTGGGAGTTGAGGTGCAATTTACAAAATCTATTACCACACCATTAGCAAGCAATTTAGTTTCGAACTCAGAAGAAGCTGAGACTGAAGCTAATAATGAAAAGCTGTCTAAGAATGAAAGTACTTCTTTGAATGCAGGGGAAATAAAGAACCAAAACATTGAAGAAACAACACCAGAATCGGATGATCATCAAAAACTGATAAAAAATGGCAACGATAATCTTTTTGGTCAGACGTTTCCACCTGAATTTAAAGCAAAAGTTGCCAATCTGCTTAATAGACTTAAGGAACAATTAATGCAATTAAGACAAATTGAAGCTGAAACATCGGAAAAAGGAGAGAATGAAGGGAGAGATGAAGCTGGAGAGAAAAAATCGAGTAAATTTGATAGAAAAACAGAAGAATTGCTTTATCAGGTAAATATTTAAGTGATGCTTCAAATTTAAAATTTTTAAAATTATAAGGTAGATCAACAAGTATCTAGTATTATTAAAGAGAATTGGGGGGAACCGATGAAGAGTAATCTGAAATATAAAAATCAGCTGGAGACAAACAATCCATCACTTGAAGATTCCAATGCTTCAAGTTCAGCTTTATATTCAGTTACTCCCTCAACATCTTCTTCCTCGTTGCCTCCTTCATCCTCCTCTTCCTTACTACCTTCCACTGCTTCATCATTATTTTCATCATCCCCTCAATCACAGCTAACTTCAAACTCATTCTCTTCATCATTAAATACATCACCATCTTCAACGTCATCTCATACTCCAACACCGCCCTCCTCTTCAACGTCATTTCCTTCAACTCCTACTACTTCACCCAAAACCTCCCAACATCCTTTTACTCTTCCATCATTACTTTCATTATTCCAATCATCACAATTAGCTTCAGATTCGTCCTCAAATATCCTAAATACTCCTATATCATCTTCAACATCTTTATCATCATCTACATCATCTTCCTTGCCTGTTTCCGCTTCACCTAGACCTACTTTATCAGCAACATCAGCTTTCAAGCCTTCTTTCAATTCCTCGACAATTTCTCTTTCCAACCCCTCTTCCAACTCTTTAACATCTCAACATGCATCTTCATTTTCTACAACATTGCCTCCTTCAACATCCACATTATCAGCTTCCTCAGTGTCTCTTTCAACAAATCCTACTTCATCACCATTCTCTCCCTCATCTTCAAGCTATACAGTATCATCCATAACATCCTTCCCTCCTCAAATTACATCTACAAACTCTTCAATAAACTCATCCAGTTCTTCATTGAAAAACATTATAAACCAACCCCACTCATTAAAAGAGCAAAAAACCAATTCTACAGAATCCATAACTCCTGCTTTTAAAGCTAGATTAGCAAATTTGTTAAATCGGCTTAAAGAACAATTATTCAGATTTCGGGAATTTCAGCAACGCCAACAATTATTGCTTGGGTTACCGAATAATAATGGTACTATTAAAAGATTATTAACTAAAATAATTATTCCTAAAAATAGTAACCGAAGCAAAAAGCCAATTTTACGGAGCTTCAACTGAAAGGAGTATAATTAATATTGAAAATGCTACAGAAACTGCTTCAATAATAGTAATTAAATTAATTTAAATAAATATTCTGGTTGAAGTTTATTTAG